CTCTTGAAGCATTGAAGATTAGGACTAATACTTTGTTAAAGCAGAATGAAGAATTATATATGACCCTACATAATGGTGAAGGACATGAAGTGCCTCAACCACTACATCAAATTGGAATAGAGGTTTCAAATTCTCAAACGAGTATGTTTACTTCAAATAAGGGAGGTGCATCCACTCAAGGCAATAATCTGACAACAATAATAACAAAAGAACTCAAGATCAGCCTTCCATAAATATTTGATGGCACCCACTTAAAATTTCGTGGCTTTATAAATCAAGTATGACTAATCACCTTGCTTCAACCTCAACAATATTCTCATGAAGCATCTTATATTGGTTTCGTTGGAACCTTTCTCTTGGGTCAAGCTTTATTTTAGATTATCCTATTATTTGAAAAGAATTCTCCTATATTGCACAATTTTGAAGCATTTTTGGCAGCACTTGCAGAAGCATTTGGTGAATATAATAAGATTTGTTCTTAAACAATTAAAATTCAAAGCCTTCGACAAGGAACATGCTCTGCATCAACATATGCCTCAGATTTTTGACAATTAGTATGTGATATAAATTAGAGAGAAGATGCATTGATGAGCCAATTTTATTAGAAATTAAGAAACAATGTCAAGGACTTATTATTATCTATATTAGATCCTCCAATACTCAATGAAGCCATTAGTCAAGTTGTGAAGTGCAATAACCATTTATTTCAACAACGACAAGATAAACATTCTTCAATTATGCCACATGTATACACCAATTATTCTATAACTTCTTCACCATCCAATTCTAATGAGCAATTGGAAGCAGAAGATATTTTGATTGATGTAGTTCGCTTCAAACCTCTTTCTAAGTAAGAAAAAAAAACATCAAAGAGAACTTGGCATGTGCTTATATTGTAGAAAACTTAGCCATAAGGTTAGTAATTGTTCAAAAAAATGCCAACGTACATATCAAATGAGGAGTGTGGTTACATCATCAAAAGAGTTGCAAGAAAACAATGGCATCTAGCCACAATAGGAACCATGCGGTTAGATTCTTCACTATCACAAACCAAAAAAGATCATATACTCTCTTCTAGCCCTTCTCATTGTTTTATTGCACTTATGCAATTAGGAGTCACAAAACTAGATTGTCATGCATTACTTGACTCGGAAGCCTTTGCATGTTTTATTCACGAAGAATTTTCTATATCACACAAAATTTGTATAGTCAAAAAATCTAAAGCCATATATTTAGAAGTAATAGATGGTCGACCTTTATTTTTTGGAGATGTCACTCATGAAACAATTCTATTAGAAATAATCTTTGACAATCATAGCAGCCAAGTAGTATTCAACATCATTAGATCACCATCAAATTTAATCATTTTAGGACTTTTATGGCTTCAAAAATACAATCCACGAATAGATTGGATATGACAAAAGTTAAAATTTCTTTTAGTAGATCATAGAACCTCCAAATCTATGAAAAAGCTTCTAACATCCGACAAGCCAAAACTTAAACAACATTTATTTATTAGAGCTAGAACATTTATGAGGGTGGCCAAACAAGGTACTACATTTGTTACCTATAGAAATCGACAATCCAAACTTGTGGTTGCTACAACAATAATTCTAGAGGTATATAAGGATTTTACAAATGTATTTGAAAAGAAAAATGTGGATATCTTACCAAAGCATCACTCTTACAATTATAAGATTGACCTTCAAGAAGGTACTCAACCACCGTTTGGACCCATCTACATTTTATTCCAGAATAAGCTTGCAACTTTAAAAGAATTTATTGAAGAAAATCTGGCTAAGAATTTTATTTGACATTTCAAGTCACTACTTGGTGCTCCAATATTATTTGTAAAGAAAAAAGATAGATCTTTATGAATGTATGTAGATTATTGTGATCTTAATAAAATCATGGTAAAGAATTGATATCTATTGCCTTTGATATCTGAACTTTTTGATCAACTTAGCCAAGCAAAGATCTTTACAAAGATTGATCTACAAGGTATGTATAACTTTATATGCATTAAGGAGGGAGATAAATGGAAGACAACATTTTGCACCAGGTATGGACATTTTGAATATAATGTCATGCCTTTTGAACTTATCAATGCTCTAGTCATATTCCAATACTTAATGAATGATATATTTTGCAAGTATCTCAATGACTTTCTTGTGATCTATTTAAATGATATTCTTATTTTTTTCCAGAATCTAGAAGACCACAAAAACATGTCTGTCTTATGTTGAAAAAACTACAAAGTGCTATGCTATATACAAAACTGAAGAAGTATATATTTTATGCATCTCGGGTCAAATTTGTTGGATATAATATTTTCAACAAAGGCCTTTTAATGGATCCAAAGAAAGTACAAGCAATTATCGATTGAGCAACGCCAAAAATTGTACATAGCATCCAATGTTTTCTTAGATTTGCAAACTTCTACAGGATTTTTGTTAAAAATTACTCCAAGATTGTTGCTCCACATACGCGGTTGACATGCAAGGACAAACTAGATTGGAGCTCCTAAGTAGAGAAAGTTTTTCAATGCTTAAACGATGCTTTTACAGCAGCTTTAATTTTAATACATCCAAATTTCAACAAGCCTTATTTTATGGAAACGGATGCCTCATACTTTGCATTGGGAGTAGTTTTGTCACAATATGGAAAAGATGGCAAACTTCATCCAATTTCATTCTATTCTTGTAAGAGTCTACGACGAGATCCAATATTACATAATCTAGAGGCTTTTCTGGCGGAATTTTCATCCATGTATGGAGAACATGATGCAATTCCTTTTGAATCGACAATATTAGAGCTTCTTCATCAATTCAATTGAATTATTGCTGTTGTTTTTATAAATTTTCATCATATTGGTGGTTGCTCCAATCCTTCCCTTGGTTTGATTTTTCTTTTTTTCTTTTTTTCTTTTTTTTTTGCTACCTACCCTCTTCAAAGGTATCAATGACTAGGTTTAGCATTTAGATTTTAGGTTTAGGTTTAGCCTAAACCCTAAACCCTTCCCCCCTTCCCTCCTTCTGTTTGGCCCTTGATACTATATGTGTAGTGCACCCGAGAACATGGGCGTGGATGTATCTTACTCCATCTTGGTTCTCTTTATCTTGGTTGCTTTTTGTGAGGGAAGCTTATTAATGTGTGTCCGTTACGATTAGCAAGAACTATTCCTTCTTAGTAGTAAGTTACTAGGTAGATTTAGTTCTTGCTATATGAGCTGCTCTCACTCGAGTTTTGCTCTACAGACTTACACATGTTATTTGATAGTCCTTAACTATATTCCTTGTTTTACTTCATCATTTGTGCTGGAGAGTCATTTTTAGGTCTTGAACTTGTATTTCTTAACCAACATTTTTGACAAAATTTGTAAAATTTCTATGCTTAGTTTGTAGAAATCAAATTGGATAAGTCTTTCCATGAGTTGATGGAACAAATTTAATCTAACCAAAATAAGTGAATAAATGTTTGTAATGAATGTGTATCATTTTTGTATTATTCATATTGGATGTACAACATTTTTGTGTTATGTGTGTTGGTGTATACATTTTATATATTTTCTATGCAAATATAATAGTTTTACATTATTTTAAATGGTTGAGAGAATGCACCTAATGTTATGCTTATCTTTTTGTAGTATATTTATTATCAGATTTTTATTCTAAATGAAGTAGTTTTATTTATTCTTTTTTGTGAATGATAGTGCTTATTTTATAAAAACTAAATAGGAAGTTTTAGCACATAAATTCACATTACAATTTTTTTTGTATATAGTTATATATAATATTGTATGTGATATATATAATATTTATAATAATACATTGATGATTATATACAAATCCTATTTTATTTGTATTTTTTATTATTGTATTTAATATTTATTTCTTTGTTTATTTTGAGTGTATATATCTATGTTCTCATGATAACATATAAATATGTAAATATGAATATATATATATATATACATTTATATATTCTTATTATTGTTTATTTATTTTTATATATATTATTTTTTTCAAAGTTTAGATTGAAACAATGTGATTTTTAAATATGTTCTTGTGATAAATATCTTTTTGGCGTTTAGTATTTTCTTCTAAAATTTGGTCATTTAGGTGCATATCAAATGTGTGACAAGATTATTCCGTACGCTTCATTCTTTTTTTCCTTTTTCATTTCTTTTAGCATCCCAATTTTGTCTCTTTTTATTGCTCTAAGATTTTCATTAACACAAACTTATTCTCCCACCATAAATTTTAAATGTTTGTTGGTAAGCAAACTTGTTTTAATGCCAAATATATGTTTAACATGTTTTTTTAACTTCTGAAAAAGTTAATTACGAATTATATAACATAGACGAATCAAAAATAGACTAGTGATACATTTGAATGGATAATAACCAGATATGGTTCTAGAGAGTGTTGCTCTTCTGATTATAAAATAAGAAGATATTACCAGTGTAATGAATAAGGTTTCAATCATATTAAATAGTCATGCTTGAGATAAATAATTTCATAATCAAAGATGAGTTCTAATTTAGTTTTTAGATTCCAACACAATCAGAATCGATAAAAATTAGGAGGTACATGAACAATAAAGAATGTAAAAACTACTTAATTTCCACACCTTATAAATTCAGAATGTATTTGCACACAGATTATGGAATCAATTAAGTAATGACTGTAAAAACAGGTAATGTCAAAAAAAAAAATTGAACACATATTACTCTCACTAACTATTAAATTAAATGAGATATTATAATACAAGTTAAGAAAATCCATATCACATTGTTTGTTGACGATTTATAACCAATAATCAAGAGATAATCGTAGTAGCCCGGTATATTATCATGGTTAAACAAGACCAAATGTACACATGTAAATCATACACCAATGGTTAGCCGGTTGATTTATGTTCACTTGAAGGCCATGAACTGAAGCTATAAGAACTCAGCAAACTGAATCCCACTTAAAACAAGTAATTCACATGCATCATTGGTGGTAAAAATGGAAGATGATTTCATATGTATTTAACGTTGTTAAATTTTAGCCCTACAAAAATACACTCGTATTTTTATACATCAACCTCATACCCTTTACCTGAAGGGTGTATCACTTCACTTCTCGATATCCTTTCCTCAATACAATAAAGAAAGTTTCTGCTGACCTGTATGATGTGCTTCAAACTGTATCCCCTTCACCATTTAAAGTACTTGGCCCATACGGCATGAGTTTCAGAAATAACCGTAAGTGCATAATCCTGTGACAGAAGGGCCAGAGATACATGCTATGGGTGTTAAGTCTTGGCATACATATAGCACGCATATGAGCTGGTGAGACTCAGACGTTGCCAACGAGAATTGGAATTAGAGATTTGTCAAGTTGACTTGTCATTGACCAGGTCCCAAAAAGAATAGGTGTTCACTACAGTAAAATGAAAAAAGCCTTCCAAACATTTCTCAGTAGAATCATCACTGATCATTTACCTTCTCAGCAGGCTTATTGTCAAGTCCAAATCTGTTCGCAGGCTTTCCATCTGGAATCTGGTAATCTCTAAACCAATCTCTGATTGCTGTCAACGTGCCCTGCAACAAAGCGCATGAGAATATGAGTAGCCAATACGCACTGATCACTTGACTTTACTGACCAAATTTGATACGACTCACTTTAAAAATTCGTAAAGTTGTGCGTATAATTGATGCCTGAAAACTTGTCAAAACCAGAACCTTTAAACCAGCGTGACATGTACAGCAAACTTACACAAAAACATGATTTCGTAAAAGCGAAGTGGGAGTAATATGCATTGTCATTGGCAAATCTCTCACTGCAAAGACGAAAACAATTGCATAATACGTGAAGATGTCCTATTCTCCATTGAGCACTCTCTTTGAATAAAATGGTACTCAGGACTCACTGGGAAGTGCTCCTCAACATCAGCTACATTGTTGACAAGATGAGCCTTCGGATCGTCGACGGAGATGACCACAACTTTCCAGTCAAGGTCACCTTCATCAATCATGGCCCAAACTGCTAGAACCTTCACTTTAAGTACCTCACCCAACTTGGCTTGCCTCTCCCCTATCTCCACAACGTCCACTGCCACACGTAAAAACACCCGTCACACACAGCAGGCTGGGAGATACAAATAGAAAAATTACAATCAATAGCTACATCACCCCTAGTTGTATATAAAAATGCTTCTGCAATATGCAATCCTTCGAAAATATAACCACTGAATTGTTAATCAGATTCCATCAATTAAGCCAACAACTATGAGAAAAACGTATGCGTCTTCGAGCCTACGATCCAAACCACCTTATATCAATTTAGGCACAGGAACATTTGCCTAAGCCTCTCAATTCAGGAACCGTAAACATACCTGGATCATTGTCACCCCGAGCATTCTCCACATCGCGGTTCAAAACTTGAGGATCCTCCCATGTTTGGGGAAGAAGTCCGTAGTTCCAGTTCATGTTGTGTCTAATGCCACCATCAACCACAGAACACACGAGGGACTCAGCATAATCAGACCTAGGTAATTATGACAGTTCAGAGTTTATCGCAAAACTGTGAAGAAATTCACTAGATGTACATCTTTAACCAAATACCCATTCCTAGTATCTTCCTGATTTGATAATAACCACCAGCATGCATACCATAAAGGTAACAGCACTGAGCACATTAGACTCAAACTCAAAATGTTTGCACTGAAACTTACGGGAAGGAACGAAGATCTCCGTTCTCATTGATGTCCTGTCTGAAGGGGGTGAAGGGCTCACATGTAGCAACCTCCATCTTACGTCTAGTGTCCTTGGGGACCTTCACCACGAAATTGAAACGCCCATCTCCAGCATCAAGAGGGATGTCGTGCCATGGGGACATCTACAGCTCCATCACGACCACTGATTTAACATCGATTACATCGTCGTGTGAAATTTCTATCCTACGACTGCTTATTTCAGGGGAAACGATTGACTACTATTGGCTCTTACAAAATCACATTCAGGACAGGCAATGCCAATACCTGAAGGATTGGGTGAGGTATCACGACATCAACGGATCACATCCTGGCTTTCCTGTAAATTAACGAGCTTCCCAAGTTTTTAGACCACACTCAATAAATATCGGTGATGAGATGAGCCAAGTGGACCCCCTCTCTCAAAACGGGAACAACAAGCAACAGATGTTGGTAAAAAAATGGCAACCCAATACTCACCGGCCGACCAGTTTCGTCGGAGAGGAAGACCCGGTAAGTCGCAGAATCAATCTCACCCTCCTCCCTCGTAACACACTTAGAAAACACGACTCTGCAGCTGTGAAAATTCCTCGTAGAGCTTGGCATAAATGAGTGACGTAGTGGGGCAGCTCTGAGTGACAGAGTAGGAATCGAAGACGATGAAAAAGCCATTGTCTGTCTTCCAGATCCCCTCACGACAGTCGAGCCACCCATACATTGCGGCAAGAGGAATGCGCAGCGTGTTACCATTGCTCCTGTAACTGCCATGGCCACCTGCACACACACACACACACCCCGCGCATTGAATGATTCCTCGACGGCTTCACCTTCACGAAACCAACCACTCACCCAGCCACCCAACAAGAAATCGAGTGGCAAAAACAAACCTACCTGCTGGGATGCGACGAGCAAAGCAGCAGCGGGCTCCACCGGAGAGGTTTAGGAGGTGCACACAGGCTGCAGAAGTAAAACCCTTTCTTCACTGCTCCCGCTTCTGAATATTGTTGGCAACGAACGGGGGATTATTGGGCGATTTCGATGCACGCCGCTTCGCCCCGATGCAGGCCAATATGGCCTCTTTCCTCGCGAACCCCAGTGAAAAAATTTAGCAAACTTGCGACGCTCAGACAGACAAACAGACATACGTACCGACATCCCCGAAGATGGATGAATACAGTAGTGGATGGCCATTTACAAATCGATGAATGATATAGATGAACGAATGGTTTCCGGATGAGTGGTGGATGGATGATGATTGACAACGGTGTGATGAATGGTAGATAGATTGTGGGTGATAGATGGATGATAAGTGGGTAGATGCCTTCACAATATGCTTTGGGTCTAAGTGTAAGAGTTTCTTTTTTCTTTTTTTAGGGGAGTGTTAAATAGAACCATGATTTTATTAAATTAACCCACACTTGATAAAGAATATGGTAATCATGATGAATGTGGTTGGTTTTTATTGGTTATAGATCCAATAGTGGAGAAATGAATCTAAAAATTATTTACTATTTTTTTATGATGGTTAGGATGAGTGGGTCCATTTAGTAAAAAATTGGGTAATTACTTAATTTAGAACTAATGAATAATACATTAAAAATGAAAATTTTGAGAATTTTATTTCCAAAGTATGTATATCCTTTGACAAATGATGGAATATCTTATAATTTAGTAAATCATTCATGGTTTTCTTTTTTTTTAATGTCTTATGATTTATTTATGGAATATCTTCTGATTTAGTAAATCCTTTGACAAATGGTGGAATCCGCAACATGACTAAGTATCAAATTTTTTATTTTTTTAATATTTTTTAGTGCACATCTACAAATATTTATTATATTGTACTCATAAACAGATTATATAAATAAATAAATAAATTTGACTGTATGGGCAATAAAATTAATGTAATGTTTTGTTCTACAATTTTTATGTATGACTAAAATTTGATTTTATAATTTAACTTATCTAACAGAATACATTTAGAGTAATTATAAGTTTTCATTTGTCTGTATATATGTGTGTGTGCATTTCTATATATATATATATATATCTTATTTAATATGTTGTGATAGGCATATAAAAATTATTATATTAATAATTCTTTTAGAATGCCTTTAAATTAAAAAAATCCCTTGTTGCTACAAATTTACATTTTTATGATGAATATATATATTTATTGTTACTATTAATAAAAACATTTCATATTTTATGTTAAGAAAAATTGAAGTTTTAAACTTTTTGTTTTACTTTATGCAAAATATTACTAAAATGTGTATATTTACAAATAAAACATAAAATCATTAATCTGTATTTGTATCATTAAAAAAATCCAATCAAAGAACACAATTTACATCTACATGTTACAAAAACCATTAAAATCATAAGAAGAATAATCACTGTTGCAATCATGACTATAATATGTATACAAATAAATACACACAACATAAAATGAAAATTAATTAATTATAATCAATTTAAAAAAATAAAATATATACTTGAATTTATGCATTTGAACATTTTATTTATTATTTGCATTGCAATTAGTCTGGTTTATTCTACATTGCCAATGGATCGATTGAGTCATGAATATGAACCAATTTATTGGAAATTGTTTCAATACAGATTATAATCTTGCAGTAGTGTGTTGGTATTTTTAACTAATTTGGGATAACTGAATTTATAATAATAATTTGTCCATACACATATGAGTATTGCAATAATTTTTTATATGTGGAATTTATTGTAAATTATGATATGTTATGTTTAAATTTTAACTTTTCTTTTGTAACAAAGTCATTTAAAACAATTAAAAATCAAGAATAGAATTTTTCACATTACACATATATATCTATATATATATATATATGTATATATGCAAATTTGCTTATACTAATACATGCATTTTCTGTTTATTTGTAACAAAGAACATTGATTAAAGTAAAACTAATGATAATCCAACATTTTTTCCATAAAGAAATTATTGGTCATAAAAAAATTGGTCATCTTTGATTAGTTTTTGAAATCATATTTACACTGTGTTAATTAATTTTCTCTTCTAAAAAACATCCAAAACAGTTTTTGCAAGAAATTGAATAATCAAAGCATAATGTTAGTCTCATTTTCAGTGTGATCTCAGTAATTCAGTCTTTGATTTCTGACATAATCTTCAATTTCGTTCAAGTTTCAAAATACAATTTCGAATGTCTAGCAATTGTCATTATTGATTAAATCACGAAAATTGAAAAAAAAAAAATAAGTGCAGTTTGAAATGTTAAAACTTGTACTTTTGAGTTGAAAAAATGAATCTTGTTTGGTAGGTAGGTAAAGTGAGATGGAAGAACACTAGATTATTGGATTATATTCTTTGTACTGTTATGTCAACTTCATCTGTACTACAGTCATTACACCAATGCAATTGTTGTCATAACTTCGAGTACAATAGAATATTTGACGATTCTCTCAATGATTTGATATTGCAAAGTGTTTTCCACTATGATTTTCTGAAGACATCAATCAGTTAAGAACTTCAAATTAGTTCATGAACCACCCAATTGATGGAGTGTGATAAGGTTTACTCCTTGAATATAATCCCAGGATGTGTGGACTTCGTTTAGTGAATTATTAAGCTAGAATATCACATCTTGTTATTGTAAAATATTGTTGTATACAATCATTCATCATAGTTATATATCTTTCCCAAATTCACTTGAAAATCTAGTGGGTAGCTTCTTTGAAGCAGACTGGAAGCTCTTTTCTACTTTTAATTATTGTAATAGTATTCAATCTTCCAGAATAACTAGTATCCACAATTTAGATGCAGATGAACAAAAAAATTGTGGACACTAGTTGTGCTTAATCTTATTAGTCAATAAATAAATGTAATTTTCAAAAAAATATTATTGTCTAATCAGATGAACAACTAGTGTCCACGATTTAGATGCAGATGAGCTAAAATTCTTAACCTCCAAATGAACAGTTTGTAAATATAATAATAATAATAATAATCTGTTGTATCTGTTAAATTTTTGTCCACTATATTGCTTAATGCAATCTGCATATGTGGAACTTATATTTCTTCAAGAGAAACACGGTTCAATTTATTTGAGTAATGTGTTCATTCTAATCAACAAATGTAAGACAAACATTGGAAACGTATTTCATGTGTTATGAATCCTTTTATACTTTCTTCGATGCAGACAAGAGTATTTGAATTAACATAGTGTAAGGGGACACTAGTTGTGCTTCCTCTTCACAAGAGAATTAAAACAAGTGTGGCAAGAAACAGCCTAATATTCCAACTCCTTCATGGACTGAGTTTTGTTTCCAAGCTAAACAAGTCTAACAATTGAATGTTCATGACTCTTCTTTCCTCAGAAACGTGTGCAGCTCAAAACTCTACTTGCACTAATTGCACTAGAAACGAACGGTTGTAATTTTCATGCTTCAATTGCTCAGAACTAGAGGTCTGTTCATAAGATGATGGTGTCATTTTGCATCGCATAACACAAATGAGGACTCACCAGTCGTTACATTTGGAGTGGTTCAAGCAGTAGTTTTTAGATCGTTTGTTGACATTCTACTCACCCGAGTGGATTGAAAGCCATAACATGTTCAAGAACTCAGAGTTAGCCGCCTTCTAACCTTAATAAGCACGTAATCAAGCGGCTTATTGTTGAAAAGGTGCAGATGCGGATACGTAACTCTTCTTTAAGTGGAGTTTCATGAGGCTTTGATGCTGGAAACTTAACCCCAATGTTAGGTTTCACACGACCAAATCATTGAGAATTGTTCACAGACGTTTCGTCAAGAATGGCACGGACGATAATATCTTTGAACAACTGATCTTCTTCTTCCGTTTGCAGTGGCTCTGGGCCAGATTGAAGCATCAAAGGTTTCTTTCTGCCGTTATCAATAGTTTCTGGATAAGCAATAGCAGATGCTGTCATCATGCTCATATTTCAATAAGGCTAGCATGCAGATTCGACTATTTCAAAAACAAACCCAGCACACTTCATACACGTTGACTTCGAACCTTATGTGTCGCTACTAATGAGATTGACCCTGAAAAATAGCTGAACTGAGTTGTGATTTATGTTTCGAGATGAAAGTTCGAATGTATTTTTCCTCATCAAGATGCATTCCATCTGGCCCAGATTTGCGCCAGCTCCGAAATTGTTTTAGTTTATACCTCTAATCTCAAGGCTTCCAGTTGAGCGTTTTCGCGACACGCAATATTAGCGTGCACTACAGTTATTCTCCTTGAGTCTAGAGCGCCCATGATGTCAACTAGGAGGCCCGGCCGATTCATGCACGCTATATGTACTTCTAATTTCCCTTCCTCTCGTTTCACTTCCACCTGTTACAAGATCGATTATCAAAATACGTCAATCCCTATATTGCTAGTAAATGCCGACTGTGGATGAAATCTTTGGGGTAGGTCTGTAATCATCATCAAGTCAAATGGTGCATGATCTCTACGTAGGGTACCCGAATTGCGTTGGACATCTAACTTCGTCAATTATTCACTTGCAGCATCTCGAACAAACTTCAATCGAAGTGACTGAGAATCAGACCGCGCAATGTATTGTAGGTTGCTGAAATTAATCAAGGCATGCTTAAAATGAGTGCTGCATCAGAATTTCGAGTGCGAAACGTACCATTGGATGCTGGTACGAAACACAGACAGAAGCCGATCTCGTTGATTGTGTATCCGGTGCCTCCTGGAGTGACCCCACAATAAGGTTGCCAGCACTCATGTTGGCAGATGCTGTGCTCAACGGAATAAGTTCGGTGTTGAGTTCATCCACACATTTTTGAAGTTTCATAATGTACTGGTATGCGTCCATCAAAATAGATGCCTTCTCTTCCTGTAAAATTATCGGAATTTACAAAACTCAGAACCGTGCATGATCGTGAAGGAGAATATCTCGTAAACACTGCCAATCATGAAAAAGTGGGCGATGAGTACATTATAAGAATTCGACACAAGTGTTCTTCTCAGAAGTCGAAACTCTAATTGTAGGTAAAATTGAGAGTGACAAGGCTGCTGTTACTCCATTGTTCAGTTCGAATGGTCAGTGGAAGTTTTCGTAACTGAGCATACCCCTGGAGTAGTGCCTGGTAAGATCGACCGTAAGAAACTCAGCTGCTCGTCGAGCTTGGCGTTCTTAAGCCGGCGCTCTGCGTGCAGATCGTTAACGATCACGCCATATGTTCGCTTCCCCGATCCACGTGGGATGTTAGTTTCAAACGCCTTTGGCACTTCATCGTTTTCAGAATCTGCTGAGTCCAGCTCTGAGAAGTATTCTTCGTCTATTTCACGAGTGTGTTGTTCAGCACCTTCGCCAGAGTTGTGGGAAGAGCTTCCGTTTCCATGAGCCATTGTTGAATAAACAGCTCCGTGAATGGCCTTCCAACCCCGGTATCCCTTGGTATATCACTATTTAACAGGGGTCTGAGGCGCTGTGGATGTCGCGGTTCCTTTCTAGCAATAGAATTCAATGCTGTTTGTTCCGATATAAACGAAAAAAAGAAAAAAAGAAAAATGAATGGTCATAGGAGTAGCCGCAAAGTACCTGATCTGTTACTAAGAAACATGATAACCTGCAGGAATAAAAGGCCTAGAGTGGTAAACTTGTACGTGTTGAATTCCAATTTTGCCAAACGATGGAGACGGGAGTTACCAAACAGATATTACATTGTTTACCATCTGTGTGGACCACTTCTAACGTGCTATGCCGTATGTCATCGTCCAGCTCGAAAGATCGACTAGAGCTTACTGAGAAAAATGTAACATTACTTAGGTAACGGTACTGAGAAGCCAGCACCGAGCTTCTTTATTGCTTCTCAAGGACTTGATGGAGGAGGAAATTTTGTGAGGAAGATTTCAAAAGAATGAAGTCATGGATTTGAAGAGGTGAGTCGTCCCTACACAACCAGCAGATAATTCAAAATCTCATTGCAAACTGTTCAGTTGTACATTTTTCTGTGATGAGGAGATATCGCAGGCTTAGGCGATCTGTTTTAGAGAAATGATCAGAGGCTAGCATCAGCACCTTCTGAAGTATCTGTTCATTTTATAGAATACATTCCAGCAGCGAAATCTACCTCATAAAGTAGCACAAGAACTTGTCGAGAACAAACTCTTTCATGCTTCATTCAAGATTAAACAGCCATGTCTTCTCGCGATAGCTCAGAATATACCAGGACTCAGAAACTGATAAATAAATTTAAAAACATGTGCAGAAATATGCGTTCTCCAATCTCAAATGTTAAGTGCTTTACTACCTTTCAATAAAGTTTGTCAAGTCGATGCTATGTTTTTGGAAGAGTTCTCTTAAAATTCCCAGAGACAAAACCAGGTTCAAGGTTCGTGGTTGGCGCACAAGCTCCGACGGCAAGTTGTCCCCTCTTGCCGACCAGTCCTCCGTTCCAAATAGAACTCAGCTCCAGTACCGACCACAGCTTGCAAAGATGGCTTCGGAGGCAAAAAGAAAAAAGAAAAAAAGAACTCCACTGAACAAATCAAATAAGCCTCTTAGAATGGCAACATAGTCACAAACGACTCTACCAGTGGTATTGAGCTTTATTCTACAACTCGACTGCAGTGCTATATCTGATAATAAAACAACTCAGGGAAACTTGTCTTGTAATAACGAAGGGAGAGGCATCGCTGTCATATACAATTTTCGCATTGTCCTGACTCGTTTGTGAGGAAGAAATTTCCATCATCAATTATGACACTGAAAGCGATGTCACAGGCATCGAACTGCCTCCGTTTGTTTAACTCCTACAACAGCACCTCCCGAATACTATCCGATCATCGTCCTAACTCAGATAATGAAGTTCAACGACCCATTAGTGACGCCGCTTTTGGTACAATACATGAAAATCATACCACGAAGATATCAATCGGCAGCGACTGATCAACTGACTCATAGACGATCCAACCATGCTGGAGGTCATCGCCAACCACGGCCTTCGACAAGTTTTCTTCACAATCAACAGGCGAAGCAGCCTACAGCGGAGTGGAATACCCAAATGTAGGATTCCTAACCAAAGTTCCAGGCATGAATGCGAGTGCGATTATATAAATTATTGTAACTTAGGTGAGATCGGAGGTAATAATCAAGTAAGGGCAGTGAGCTATCCGTAAATTTATACCAAGAAATTGAGGAAACTCAGCCGTTTTTGCTCAATTTTCTTCTCGGAATCTATTTCTTCACGCAAGGAAACATTGTAAATTTCCCAGCAGCACAAGCAATAAAATGGAACTATGGATCATAACCGGAGCACTACTAATGATAATAGCCTTAATAATTCTTTACACAAGTCAGACCCGTAAACATGGCTTCGCTGTACCTGCTGCGACTACATCCAGAGAAGATACCGCAAGCACAGAAGTACGACACAGATTATCTCCCGTAAACAGCTCACGCAGTTATGCAACCATGGCTATCTCCAGCAGCTAGCACCCTCTAGCCCTGGAAACCCAATTTCGGTCGCATTAAATGCAAATCGGATGCCACAAGAATAACCGAATACTCAATAGAAGACAGCTTCACGAGCTCAGGCTGGCAGGCTGGATTGCACGAAGGGTTAGTTGGCCAGATATCATCGGAAATGATGGAGGCAGACGACGGGAGTTGTTTGATGTCTTAGGAGAACGTAGTAAGATCCTACGGGATGGTCCCTCGGGGTACATGTAGTTTGTGTGATGAGTGCTACGCTTCCTTGTGAGCATGTTTAGTGGGCGAAAGCAGCAGCCGCTGTTCCTCCCTGTTCTGTTCCTACGATTTTACGAGTTGCTGAATGCGATTGCAGCTGCTGGTGATGTTTGGTGGAGATTAATTGACGTTTTCCGTCGTCTATGCAGTGTCCATCGTCATGTTCCTGAAGTCTCAAGGAGCAAGATAAAAAAGAAAAATGAGAATAACAGCCCACTCTGTTTCTTTTTTCCCCCGATTCTTTCGACATCCCCGTCTCCTTGTGCTGCGCGCTGACCCCGTCGCATCCTGAACTGAAAAGTCAAGTTTCCAATCCTAGAGCAGTTTCAATTCACTACCACTGGAATGAGTAAACAAACTCTTGAATAAATTTTTCATGCTCACAGCCCGATTAACTTGCAAAATATGTTTTGGTGAGCATGAGTTGAAATGCTGAATCACGTAGCGTCGGAGAATAAGGTTGGCTCATCGTTTGCCGCACCTAGGAGACAGCATTCGCCATGCTCTGCTCGCGAAAGCACCCGTGGGATTATGAAATCACCTCGCACCTCGCCCAATGTGGCATCTTAAGCCAAACATATTCTCTTTCGCGTTTTATTTGATAATAAGCTCGGCACCCTGTCGTAAAGGAACTAGGAATTGGTCCTCTGTTTGTCGATGTAAAGTCTTATCCGATGCTACATTAACTTGATATGGTTACTTGGTATTTATTTCACCATTTCAACTCAATCTACCCAGTCGTCGCAACCCTTTAAGGTATAAACTGCAAGCAATTGCTGAAAAAGAATCTTCAAAAACAAAAATGCAATGAATAGCGCTTGCCAGAGTGGAAGACTGGCGTTGTGTACCTCCAGAGCTGTTTGATTCCGAGCCATGACAGCCTACATCATAATTGTACAAACGCAAGGTGTTTAGAAGGTTTAATATGTTGGTACTGCACTGACTTGTACCGGCCACACTTGGTAAAGTTCATGACGAGTGTGGGTGAGCCATTACATTACGCTGGCAGACCAAATCGCAGGTGTGCCCAATCACTCCACCACGGTCGATTCACACCCACATTCAGAGCCCTGCTCGAATTAGGAGCTCAACCAGCACCAACGCTGTCCAGAACAAAATTCATCCTCACATTTACGCAAATCGACAAAAACAAAGTCTGACAACCACCCAGAATTTTATGTTGTGGAAAAAAAATCATCCCACAATGAAAGTGCCATCGTAACGGAATTTGTGTGCGTATGTGTATGGGCACACGCCGCGACGGATTCTATCACCATTGCTGGGACGTCGTTTGATGGTTACGCACGTCCTAATGGCCAGAGTTGAATGCATGAGCGTGACGTGTAACCTAGCGAACAGACGTACTGCCTCCAAAATACTCCAAGCCCCTCATGACGAGGGGTGACAAATGATAAGATGATCCTGTGCACACTTCATAGCTTGTCCGCTTGGTCTATGGGGGATCATGGACACTGCACTGCCACAGCGGCAGGGGACATGCTGATGCCCGTCACCTCTGCTGGACATATCGGCAATGACAACACCACCAAAAACAAGCAACAACTACATTAGTTCGCGAAAGCATCCTGCTCAAACATGCCCTTCGGTGGTGGGTCCCCTGTCGCTGGCGCTTCTGCACCACGGTCTCCAGTCCCCCCGGCAGGGGACCTCGTCTGCGTCACGGTTCCTCTACATCCTTGTAGAGTATGTCGTAGAGTACGGAAATCGTATTTGTACATTAGTTTCTTATTAATTAAACTTCAGTTAATTTCTTGTTTTTAGTGGCAGTTCTCATACATTTCTTTGTGATCTTAATGTGCATCTTAATTAATATTTACTTTCCTGTTTTGGAGATCTTTCTTGTGTATATAAGCTGTTATTTTCATTGGTGTAGTAGAAAAAGCAAAATTTGGCTAACAAGTGGACTTGGTCATGTCGAAGTTTTGCCATATGTATACATATATGTTGAGTAGTTTGGCATTTAAATTTTTTCACTTATATATTGATTTTTGGTTTTTCTGTAAGTATTTATTTGTAGTCTGACAACCACCCAGATTTATACAAAGTTACTATAAATCTGTTGTATGTTAAGGTTGTACTTAACTGTAGTATTTTGTTAAAAAATCATGGGAAAAGTTGATGAAGTGGTTTGTTTTATTAAATCCTAAATATTTTGAAGAATTTAGTTGTGTATTGAAAAACATTTGAGGCATGCAATAGTGCCAATTCATGACTAAGTTCCATTGCAATTAAAAAAATGAGTGGCTATGATGTAACATATGAAAGTGATAGTAAAAAGACATAAAATTAAATATATCTCTCTTGAAGTAGTTGATTATTATTATTTTTTGAGTAAATTACATTATCATAAGTTCTGTAATTAAGTTGTGATCTTATGGACCCTTCTATATATATATATATATATATGTATATATAAATTGCAAGTGCTAAAAAGTAATTGCAAACTTGTTTGACAATCAAAAATAAGTGTTATATAATAAAATGGTACACATTAAAACTAACATGTGTCTAATGTAGATTTTTATTGCCTCATTTTTTTCAAAATATTTTTTTTAACTTAAAAAATTTTATTTGCTTAAATCATTTGGTTTAAATATTTGGGAATCCATTGCATTTTGAAGTGTTAATTTAAGCATTCGAATAGTTTTGAATAATATAGATCTTTAATTGAATGGTAAAAGAGCCAATGAGACTCCTTGAGAAATACGAAAAATAAATTATTGAAAAAAATGTTAATTGGAATTATTATACTTACATTAAAATAAATTAAAATATTTGAAGATCATGTAAAGTCTTTAAAACTTTTTAATACTCATTATGATGCATAATTATTATTTGATATTAACATATTTTTCTGTTTAAAATATGAAAGGATGAGCTCGGCTAATTTAGAAGCTTTAAATGTATAAATAACATTCTAATTTTTTTGGATTCTAGTTTGTGCAGAAGCTATTTAAAGACTTTTAAGCAACTTCTTTTGATATTTTACTTTTTTATTATTTCAGTTGCGTAAATCTTTAGTTTTATTTTTGAATGAAAAATATACTTTTTAAAATTAATATCATTTTTTGCAAGGACAAAGTATTAATTATCATTGGTTATTAATTGTCAAAGGTGGCACATTGAAAATAGAATCAAAATCATCCTTGCAATGGCTCTACAATCTTACTTAATCATTTCCATTGTAGAGACCACATGGCCTTGCCTTGCCTAATGACAAAAAGTGGTGATAATATTGTTTATTATTCTACTATTGTGAGATTAAAAATTTATTATTTTCTTAAAAATATTTCTCTATAAGAACACTTTCTATAGTACCATGCTACATAACTCAGACTATAAAGAAAATAATAAATCTAAATAAGTTTTTTTTAATGTAAAAAATCCTATCACAATTTTAATATATGAAGAAACATGATTTGTAATTTTTCAAATTATTAGAAATAAAAAAATATATTAAAATATACTAAAATATTAAAATTAAATAAAGAACTTTTACATATTAATGGGTAATTATTCTATTATTTTTTAATTAAAAATAAATAAATCATAAAAAAATATTATAAAGATATAGAAATATTTTTTCAAGTGGTTTGTTGATTTTAGAGCTAAAAATTTATTATAATATTATACTTAGCATAAATAGGATTATAGAAAATATTAATTTTATATGAGTAATTAACATAAGCTATAATTGAATTAAAATTAATGTAAAAAATTGATAAAAAAAAGAATCAATCAACTTTATATTTTATGGATAGAAGCAAGGATTAAACTTTTTTTGGTAAGAAAACTTGCATATTGTACCTAAGCATGTCTTTAAGTAGAGGTAATAAGTTTTGAATCCTTTGATTTGTAAAAATTGAGAAGCTTATAGATTTAAGTCAATTAAAAGATTTGAAACCTATTGCTTTTTACATCCTCTCTTAAGTATAACGACCTCCTAAAAGATGTCACGGACATAATCATGTAAGCTAGTAATTACATATACAAATAGGAAGAAGTAAGTAAAAGTAGATAACAGTAAGTTAATTCTATAGTATTTAATATAAAAGCTTTCTAGAAGCTTCATAGATGCTGCTTTGACTTCATAGGTATCTTTAATTGACTTTTTGGATTAGAAACGTGGTCAACAAGTTAGCCATGTGCCACATATGTTGTTAGCTTGAAGATCAAGCTAACTATATGGCCCACACGTAGAAGAACTTGCCTTGTAAGTCAAGGCATGTGTCCTATAAAGTCAACACATATTGGAGGTCCTATAGAACGGTGCCACGTAGCCCCTAGTTAGATAGTATATATAGAGACAAGAGTGAAGGCTTCTTCACTCTTTTCAACTCCTTTCTTGCTTCTAGTCTAGTTTTAAGGGTCTCTAGTTTTCTTGTCTTTTGGCAATAGCCATTCTAGTTTCTCTTTCAATATATATACTTATTTATATATATTTTGTTACCTCTCTTTGAATGAAGACTCACTTGTTTGAATTGTTTTTTCATCGAGTTCTTGTCCTTGACAGATTGACAAGGGTACACCTACAATATCAGAGCTTTGTCTAATCTTGATTAAGAGTGGATTACTCCTTTTTCTTGATAAGATATAAGCATATTAGAAGTTGCGGATTACCCTCTTCTAAACTGATATTGTCTTTAGTATTTTCTTTATTCTCAAGTCCTCTCTTCTATTTGTCTTGAGCAATATTAGACATCTTCTCTCTTCTAAGTGTTATCATGGCAGAACTTCTTGAAATAAAGAGTGCAATGGCACAAATGCAAGAGCAATTGAGGGAATTAATGCTTGCAATGCATCAATTCAATTTACCACCACAAGAAGCAACAAGATTGGCAGGAAGTGAAGATATAGAAATGGTTGGAGTTTCTTCAACATCTGCACCAAACCATGACTTTTCTCCTATGGTGGAACGCCCTTCAAATATTAGAGAACCAAGAATTGTCCTACCCAAGAAGTTTTTTGACACTAGATCTAAGTTTCGAGGATTTATCAATCAAGTGTAACTTAAGATTGAACTTCAACCCCAAAGCTATCCAACTCCAAGATCACAAGTTACATTCATTGGTATGCTTCTTTCAGGTTCAGCACTATCATAGTTTTCATCTTTTCTTGAACGACGAGATCCAATATTAGATAATCTAGAGGCTTTTTTGGTGGAGTTTTGATCCATGTATGGAGAACATGATGCAATTCGTGTTGCAATCAATAAGATCCATATTTTACGATAAGACAATCGATCAATAACGTTATATGCTTCACAATTTTGACAACTTGCAACTGATATTAAGTGGGATGATACTGCACTTATTAGTCAATTTTTCTACAGATTACAATATGACGTAAAAAAATTAATGCTCAAATTACCTGATCCTCAAACATTGAGTCAAGCAATTGACTTTACTGTGAAGTGCGACAATCGCCTTTTTGAATTCCGATCTGAGAACCGTACAAGTGGACCTCAACGTTACTATAATTCAATGGCAACACCAACACCTCTTCAACACATACATTCGAAAGTAGAGAATATACAAATTGATGCAGTACATTTCAAACTTCTTATTGAGCAAGAAAAGACTCGTCGTTGTCAAGAAGGATTATGTTTATATTGTGGAAAACCAAAGCACACTGCTCAATATTGTCCAAAGAAATGACGCAATCTCAAAATGAGGAGTATGGCTATGAAAGAAGATAATATGTTGGAAAACGAGTTTGTCCAGCTACAATAGGGACCGTGCGATTGGAACCTTGCACAACATCTAGTAAAGGTCCTATTCTTTCCTCAGAGCCCTCTCCTTGTTTTACATTAAATGTTATTTTAGGACC